CCGAAACCCGAAACCCTAAACCTTCAACCGACTACCAAAAGAGGCTTCGGAAGATCTCCTGCTGCGCGCGGAAAGCTTGGGCTGGCAGCTTCATCAGGCCAAGTTTCTTGGGGGGATTTTATAGGGTACCTATAGGGTATTCCATAAGGTGTTCTATAAAGGATATTCTATAGGGTGTGTATGTATAGGGTTTAGAGGGGTTTAGGGTTTTAGGGTTTAGGGTTTTAGGGTGAAGGGTTTATGGTTTATAGTTGTTAGGGTTTAGGGTTTAGGGTTTTAGGATTTAGGATTTGAAGGTTTTAGGGCTTACCTGGACCCTAAAGAGCCCACCTGCTTAGGGAGCCTTAATAAGATTTCCTTATATACGTCCTTTTGAAGGTAGGTAGGTTATTCACAGCTTAACCGGGGATCCAAAAACCTATGGTTTTAAGAGTTGTACCTTATAACTAAGCTGTCATACCCACTATTTTGCAGTGTTTTGGGGCCACAGGTGGAGCTAAGGGCTTAGGTTTTTAGGATTTTCGGTATCATGGGCTCGAAGCAACCCCCGAGTGATCAATTCCCTTGCCTTAGTGCTGGGCTTCCCATGAAGCTTATAAGGGCTCTACATCAATGCTTTCAGCCCCTCTGCAAACTCTATAAAACTTTATGACTGGTACAAAGCCCCTACACCACTCCATCAAGCACCTGTAAAGTTGAATGAAGTTCTTAGGGGTTCCAGCTTCAGCATAGGGATCAATCAAAAGTCTATAACCTTATAGTCCACAAACAACGCACTATTCTATTCATTAAGGCCCCTACCTTAGCGTGTTTCAGGCGTGTCTGCAGGTTTGGAATTCAGAAGGACACTAGAGTAGGGTAAGGGCTAGAAGCATTTATTAAGACCTCTGAGCAGGACGTGCACCGCTACAGCGTCGTGGAGCTGATCTCTTGGTTCTCTACATGGAGGAGTGTAGATCCTAAGCCCTAAACCCTAAGCCTCAAGCCCAGTTTTTCAACAAACCTTACACCCGCAACCATACGTAGCCTCAAAGCGAACCTTAAGCCTTCCGGGTTCAGGAATTGGTTTGGTAAGGATGTTGTAAGGGTTCTCAAAAGGGTTCTCTATGGTTTAATGTAGGCGCCTTTGTGTTTCGAACGGGGTGCTGGGGTATACTGGACTAGACTAGACTGTACTGTGCTGTAGCTTACTTTGCGATACTGTACTACGTACACGTACCCAAAACACTGCACAAACTATGCACTACACACTGTACACCAGACACCTGAAAAACACAGCACACACTACACACCATGCAAGAGATACCATACACCGTATTCTATGTGGTGTATACCGTATACTATGTACTACATACTATATACGGTAGATTGTAAACTATATACTGTGTCCTTTTCTTCGCTATTTGTGAATATTGTGTACTTCACATGACATACTATTGCAGTATATTTAAGATCAAACACCAGTTCTTATACGCTGAATACTGTACACTGAAAGCTGTATACTTTAAGTTGCACTTTAGACTATGGACTTTACACTGTACAGCATACACGAAGCACCATACAGTTTACACTCTAGATGTTAGCGATATACTTCATACCGCGTAGTATGCATACTGTATACTTTGTATTGTACTATACATTATATGCTTTAATGTACTATACTCTCACATTATGCTGCACTCCGCTACACCACACTACACTATACTATACTACACTACACTACGCGACGCTAAAATAGACAAGGCTAGACCAGACTATACTACACTATACGGAACACTTGCTGATTAGTCAGACCTCGATGCTAGGCTCGACAAGAAGCCCCTGAACCGCAACAAGTCCTAAATCAAAAGCTGCAGGAGCGTCTCGCGCGAGGATCTGGAGATGATGTTGCAGGCCTTCCTAAAGCATAAGCCATAAACCCTAAACCCCTAAATAAACAAGAACACACCAGACCCTGCATACAGCGCTCGGGGCCCAGATGTCGAAGCCACCGAGACGCCAAGCGGTTTAGGGTTTAGGGTTTTGGTTGGGTTTACTAGGGTTTAGGGCTGTGGGCTTTTAGGGTGCGCAGGGAACCCCGAAAGGAGACTCCCAAGCGCTCAATGTTGCAATGTAGGGTTTAGGGTTTAGGGTTTAGGGTTTAGGGTTTAGGGTTTAGGGTTTAGGGTTTAGGGTTTTCTGAACATTTCACGATCGTATTGTGCCTTTGGGTACCCTCATACACTCATGTCCATACTACCAAACCCGAAACTTTTTCAAGCTACCTTAATTTAAGGAGTAGCATCCACTGTATATCCTCTATATGATAACTTGGAATGACCATATGGGTAGTTTTCCAAATTAGGGTTCTTTTTGGGGTCCTTTTTATAAGGGTGCCGTACTATACTGGGGACCTAAAAAGGAACCCTAATTTAGAGAACTACCCATATACTCTCCGTAGCCATCCGCCCTGAATCCCATGCCCGAAACCCAAACCTTGACCCGCCCAAACTTCAAGCAACTGGTCTACAAAACCCCTAAACCCCTAAACCCTAGACCCTACACCCTAGAACCCAAGACCCCCAGCCCTAAGCCCTAAACCCTAAACCCTAAACCCTAAACCCTGAAGCCAAACCCTAAACCCTAAGCCTGTTTTCTAACTCCTCAACTTACGAAGAGCCTAAAGAACCTGGAAGGCCGTGCACTCCGCTGCCGCTGGATTTTGGTGGCCTGGGCGTCCGCGCAAGGTGTACATCGAGGATTTCTAGGGTTTTGGTTAGGATCCTTACCCTAGACTCTAAAACCCAACCATAAAGCCTAAACCCTGAACCCTAAACCCTAAACCCCGACTCCTAGATCTTACACCGGCGATTTGAAGGAGAGGGACGTTGTTCTCGCAGAGGCCCTGAAGCGCTTGCGTGGTGAGGTTGCCGTGGGAATTGTTGGCCTTGCACACCTTCCTGGCATTCGACGGAACTGGACAAGGACCGCTATGTTAGGGTTTAGGGTTTGTTAGGGTTTAGGGTTTGTTTGGGTTCGGGGTTTGTTAGGGTTTAGGGTTTAGGGTTTAGGGTTCAGGGTTTGGGGTTCCCTACAGGTGAACTCTGTTTATGAGATACGGCTTGGAGTTTAGGGTTTTGGAGTTATTGCTTAGGGCTTGAGAGTGC